GAGCTCACTCGCCTGCTCCTCCAGGGCACTAAGTCGTGCAGCAGCTTCACATTTGTGTCAGAAGGATCAAAAGTAGCCAGCTCCCAGGCAGTGTGGTTTCAGTGTCCTGTGCCAAGGTGCTGTTGGGGGTTGATGGGGTAAACTGCTGCTCCCAATAAGAGCAGTTTTCTAAGGTGAGGCCGGTGAAGCTTTGAACAGCATCTTTCATGGGGGGTTGGAAAAGCAGGGGGAGGAGGGGGAGCTTTGGAGCATGCTTTCCGGCAAGAATGACACTTCTGCATCCATTTCAGTCCTCTCCCAAGTCACAGCAGGGTTTTTCTCTGCCATGAGCATAGCATTGTAAGGAAAGGACTGGTTTCCCGGTTGTGGTGGGCTCATCCTCTTTAGCCCCCCGCATCTTTTTTTCTGCTTCCATCCTTGAGAAACCCCTCTCTTCTTGATGCACCCTTCCTTCTCAGAGACTTCTACAGCATTGCCCAACATACATTTTCTCTCTTGTTCTCCTCATTTCTTCTAAAAGGGTTGTTCTTTTAGGGCTTGGTTTGCTCAGGTGTGGACCTTGTACAATGTAGTTACAGTGACTTTTTTTTTTTTGTTCAGTTTTCATGGCAGCAAGGAAGATAAGTGTGTGAGTATTTACTCTAGAGTTTGAGATGCCTTCTTTAGAGCCCTTCCTAGTCTGGGAAGATTTTAGAGATGGCAAGGAGCTTTCTGCCTTTCTATCTTTCCTTTAACCTTGGAGTCCTGATGAAAGGACCCCCCAACCCGGCGTGTTAGTTGTCAGTGGCTGGCTGTAGTTCAGGACATATTAGATTAGTGTCTTGGTGGATTGCAGTGTCACATTTCTAGGTTTTGTAGCAAGGGCTTTCAGTGGGCATTGAGTCAGGTTAGTAATCATGTTTGCATCTCTTGAAGAATATGAAGATAGCTTGCTACAGGGCAGGGGACAATGTTTTCCAGAAATGGCATGGGGAAAGCAGATTGGCAGTGTGGGAGGGCCAGGTTAATAAATGTTTTACACCTCTACAGGTAGATCTAATGTTGAAGATTGTGTCTTTTAATTGGTATGGCCAAAAAAGTACCAAGATGCTTTGTTTGTTTTTGTTTGTTTGTTTGTTTGTTTCCACCATCCAACATGGGAGGTGAGAAAGTTCCTTGTACTGGGTTCGAGTACAAGGCCAGTGGGTGAGGTGACTGTTGGGACCCTGGGCCCAGCCTGGTGGGCCAGGCACTGCAGGGAAGGGGGCAGGTGCCAGGTTTGGAGGCACTGGGGTGGGGGGGAGCTGGCAGCAGGGGAGGAAATAGCAGGAGTTAGGTTCCTGGGGGTACAGGCACCAGGGGAACGGGCATTGCAGGGGTAATTTGGCCAGGCAGGGGTAGGCACCGGGGGGCAAGGTGCAGGAGTGGTGCAGACAGTGGGGGGTGGGGGAGAGCAAGTGTTAGGAGGCAGCACTCATCAAGGCCCAGGTATGGGGGGCAGGGATCAGGCCACTTGACTGTCCTACCATTTGCCCCCTGCACCACCTGTCTTCCTGCTCTGCTTTTCCTCACTGTAGTGTTGCGCGGTGGGGGTGGGGGGTGAATTTAAGACAACCCTCCAGTAATTGGATTCTATACATGTATAAATTTATTATAATCTTCCATTTTCCATCCATAGAATCTAATTATTGGGGAGTCATTTTAAGTTTGAAGTCATCTTGGATTCAGGCAAATATGGTACTAAGCCTAAGGGGAGACTAGCAAGATGTGCATTGTTGTTATTCACCAGAATGATCCTCCTGATGTTCTTCTCCATGCCTGGAAGGCATTGCTTCAAGAACAAGAGTCCTTTCCTTGCAATGCTATGCTCATGATAAAGCACTTTCTGTATGTGAGAGAAAATTATATCCCCTGAGCATATGTTCAAAGCTCACTGTGAAATAAAAGAGGCTTTGCAAGGATTGTTTGACACTGGAGGTTACCATGTTAGTGTCTGTTTACTTTGAGTGCTGTAGTTATTTGCTAAATGGAGTTTTGTTACTACTTCAGTACAGTCTTCTACTTCTGAAAAATCCTTAATACATTTTATAAAATGAAAGATATGGTACTGAACAATAATTTCTTGCTTTTATCAAAGCACGTTGTGAATTATGTACTTCAGTATACAGCTAAAGTGCATATCAACTCTGTTTTGCTCTTAAACATTTCACGTAAGCTGTTTTTGTTGTATTTAAAATATGGCAGGTGTGTGGTATATGATGGGGGGTGGCTTGGCAGGAAGGAGTAAGGTATGTAGCTGGCAGGCTGGCCATTGCAAAGCAGGCTGGTACACTGTCAAAGGCCATGAGGTATTTGCCATTCTACAAATGTGGAAATGGAGGCTAGAGCTAGTAAGGTCTACTAGTTTGCATCGGTCAGGTACGACAGCATCTACACACCTGGCATCCTTTATTTCAAGTGGTATGATAGCATATAATACCAGTTACAAAGAATAAGGGCAGACGTAATGGTGTTTACCAGCTGTCTCTTCAGTGTTGTTGTCAGCCTGTGTATTTTTGGGGGGTAAAAGATTGGGTGTCCACATCTGTCTCGAATTCCTCTTAGTGTCTCATATGAAAGAGGCCCTTGCTTTCAGGTCCCTCTTCATCCACAGAGTCGCAATGAGTCCTGAAGTCCGTGTCTTTGCTATTTTCATGGGCAGTATGAGAGACAAAGTGTCTATGCTGGAGTCCTGGGCCAAAGCCCAGTTCCCTATTTTATGAACAATATCTATTTTATGTCCCTGGCTCTTGTAAGCTATTTTCATATCCAGGGCTTTAATGTGGCCCTACCCAGTGTGCCACTTTGTAATCCCACTTACTTGTGGGTGTTTTTTTAGCATCCTTTAACAGTTCCTGTTCTTGTGATGTCTTGTCTCCAGAACTTTATGAATCTTCTCTTCTCTCCAGGGAGTAAGAGAACCATCCAGGCTCTATTGGAGGTTTGAGTTAGATGGACAATGTGGCATAGTATAGAACTAGAATACTATGTCAGCTATCCTGAGTGCAGAAGCATGTAACCATGAATGAACTTAACCCAGCTGTGTGCTAGCATTCAAGCAGGGAGATGAAACCAGTCAGCATAACCCTAGAACAGTTAGGGACACACGGGTAAGCAGGCTGGACAGTTTGAACAGGTTACAGAGTAGTGGAACAGTAGCTGAAGGACCACCAAAATAGGTTATAGCACAGACTTGCCCATGTGAGTGTTAGTACATAGCTTGACTTCGTGGTGAAATCACTGCTCCTTCAAATGGTAAGAGACTGTAGAACAGGGACAGGCAATTATTTTGGGCAGAAGGCTGCTTACCCAGTTTTGGCAGGCTGTCAAGGGCTGTATGGGTTGCCCCGCCCTTGACAGGTGCCCTGCTCCCTGGTCACCATCTTGGGACCAATGTCCCAGGACCAGCATTGGTGGGCCCAAAGTGGGGCATAGGCTGGCAGGGGTGTGTGGAGCCGGGCTGGGCTGCACCAGCAGGGAGAGTGGGGAGCTGGCCCGGCTCCATAGAGCCCCTGCTGGCCGGGACCCCGTGCTCTTGCCACCCTGCTCTGGGCCCTGCTGGCCGGGACTCCGCACTCCTGCCACCCTGCTCTGGGCCCTGCCGGCACTGGCCCTGGAACACCGGTGCAGGCCTCGTGCTCCTGCTGGCTCCCCGCCCACTCACTCTCAGTCCCTCCCGGCCCCGTGGTATACCCGGGGGCAGCGCACAGCCCCGACCCCCTGCTTGCTGGCACAGAAGGAGCTGGTGCTGAGTGCAGGGAAAAGCAGCCCCTTGCCCACCCCATAGCCAGCACTCCCTGCTGCAGGCGCTCACAGCCCATGTGGGGCTGTCTGGAGCAGGCAAGCCCCACATGGGCTGCAAGTGGCTACAGCGTGGGGTGCTGGCCATGGGGTGAGCAAGGGGCTGCTTTTCCCTGTGCTCAGCACCAACTTGTAACCTGGCCCTGCTGCCAGCCTGGGCTCCAAGCTGGCTCCGGGCTTGCACGGTGGCAGCAGCAGCTGCGGCCCCCACCCCCACTTGCCATGCCAGGCAGTGTTGGCTGCTGCTGCTGCCCACCCAGAGCTTGCGTGCTGGGCAGCCCAGAGGCAGTGGTTGCAAACACTGCCCAGTGTAGCAAGCAGGGGGGCCGCAGCTGCTGTCACCACATGCAGCCCTGACTGGCGAGCCCGGAGCTGGTGTGTGGCCGGGTCGCAAGCTGGGGCTGAGCGTGGGGGGGCAAAAGTGGCCCCTTGCCTGCCCCATGCCTGGCTCATAGCCTGCCTGGGACTGCCTTTGCCTGCTCCAGACAGCCCCATGCAGGCTGCGAATGGCTGCAGCATGGGGTACCAGCCATGGGGTGGGGGAGGGAGTGCTTTCCTCCGTGCCAGGAAGGAGTCCAGGGAAAAGCAGAGCACGGGGAAAAGAGGTCCCTGCCCTACCCCGTGGCCGGCGCTCCCTGCTGTAGCCACTTGCAGCCCATGGGGCTGTCCGGAGCAGGCACAGGCAGCCCCATGCAGGTTGTGTGTGGCTGCAGTGTGGTGCGCTGGCCACGGGGTGGGTGAAGGGCTGCTTTCCCCCCACCCATGCTCAATTTTTCCCCGGGCTCCTTCCCTGCTGGGGTCCTCCCCGCCCCCCCCCACCTTCCCTCTTACCTGCGGTTCCAGCTCGGGGCAGCCATGTGGTCCCAGGCCCGAAGCCCCAGCTGAGGGGCCAGGGCCAGGCCGGGCCCTGCTGTTGTGGGTCCTCCTGCCCCAGGGTCCTACTGCCTGCATTTTTGTCAGGAACCAAGGGCAGATGAATACTATCTTTTACGTTTTTTAGGGGCCTCACGGGCCAGATGCAGCCTGCGGGCTGTATTTTGCCCACCCCTGCTGTAGTACCTTACCAGTTACTAGCGACTGAAGAACTGTGTATTTGTGGGGATTTTAAGTACACACCAATGTTGTTGAGCCTGAAATAACCCCTTGCTGCATAGACAAGCTGGTAGTATCGAGTCAGACTGAGAAATTCTGTAGTCTAGGTAGAATTGCCCAATATTCTGTCTGTGGTTGTACTTTGCATAAAACTGATGGTGTTTCATGTGTTTTTGTTTTTCCAGGTTACAGCAAAACCTTCACAGTTGCTCTAGAAAAAACAGATTCCTTGCAAGTGAAGGAAGTAGCTTTTCTGAACCTTGGTAAGTTACTGAAACAATTTCACCCTTTTACTCTCTCTTTCTTGACTAGGGAGAGTTGTTGATCACAGCCTTCTGGTGATGGCCATCTGCTGCATCACTGGGATGAAAAACCTCATTCTTCCTCTACACTCCTTATGTAATTACTTGTTTGCTATGTTTATTTATTTTTTTTTTCAACTTGAATTTTTAGCACTTCATTGCAGTACTTCTTTGTCGGTGAGCAACTTCCTCCAATGCTTACTGAATTCCTCTGGAGATCAACTAACCAGAGTTCTCTTAGGTGTAAGCCTCTTGTATCCTCCCCTTGGAAACCTGATTGTGCTGCTTGTATTTGCTGTGTTACAGCACCTTCTCTTAATTAACTCCTGTTATATCTCCTAGGCATAACCTGTTCCATCAAAGAGAACTGGCTGAGAATTCATGGGTCTCAGCCTTCAAAGTAAATAGCAGATGCTCATATTGACAACTTTTGTTTCTTTGAACAGAGTATTATGTGGCTGCTTATTTGCCTGGCCACTTCCTGCATCTCCTAAATATTCATCATCCTGATCTGATGTGCTACAGTTTGTTTCTGACAGGTACAGTAAGAATATTATTCTGTCATGGGCATCTATGGGGGTTTTTTAAATAATCTCAGTATCATGGTAGGGACTCTGAAAATATTTAGGTCCCTTTGTGGAAAAGTTCAGTGTACTCTGTTGGCCTTGCCTCTGCATTATTGTGCATTGTTCTTTGAAAAGTCCAGAAGAAAGGGACATTGAAGGAAAGGAACTTCACTTTTTGAGCACTTTCCTCTTTTACAAAAGTTAATAATGCAGCTTATTCTGAAATGGAAGAAGATTTGAGTTCTGTATGATTTGCAGTCTTTGTTCTTGTGGCAGCTTTCCACTCCCCTCTCTCTCATTTATTGGAGCACCAGTCTTTTTTCCAGTTTCATATGAAGATGTAAATTGGATTGTACATTTCCTTCCTCCAATTGAGTTGCCTTAAATGTGTGTGTGGAGGGGAGTTTCAGGAAGAGGAAGTCTGCATTTCCTTCACGTGATCAGGCTAATGTAATTTGTTTGAAAATCTTCACTGAAAAGCACATTATTTCATTTCAAATAACATTACTTTATAGGAAATGGGTTATTTTTGGAAACAGAAGGTCTTTGTTTGAAAACAGAAGCCTATTTTTTTGATTGGGTGAAAGAAAAGTATGCTGTTGGGACTGGCACAGCTCAGATACACAGCAGGGGCATAAGACGAGCTAATAGGTAGCTGGGGCTGTTAATATACATAAATATTTTGCTAAAGAAATAGTGAATGTCAGTGGGACTCGCTTCATATTATGCACTGTGAGCCCGAGTTTTTTTCAATACAGTGGGTGTGGAGTTACCCTGGAACACAACTGCACACTAATGCATGCAAAGTGGTTTTGGTTTGAAAATATTTAAAACAACAGCCTCAAAGGAGACTAGCCACATGGTAGTAGTTTGGAATCGGCTGCTGTTCAGATATCCCAATAGAGTGGCAATGCTACTCTGGGTATTGGATATTCACTTGGTTTAAATATAATTAGTACAAACTGACACACACTAGTCCTTTACCATAGGTAGGTAGCCAGCCAGTCCTTCGGTAATAATTTAAACTGAGGCAAAAGTTAGATCCTCTGTCTCTCCAATTCTACAATGGTAACTGTTCTGTGCTACAGTGGCAGTGGGCAACAGGGAAGGAGGTAATTGCTTGAATTACTGAATGGTTGTTCCAAATTGACCCTAGCTCACTTCCTGCCCCTGGGGCAGGGGGCCGGACTTGATGATCTTTGAGGTACCTTCCACCCCTAATGTCTGTGAAATCTATGGAAGACAATTAAGGAACATAGATGAACTGTGTACACCTATTTTCAACTTGAAAAAAGATGGGCAGGAAACAGGTTAAATCCAGTACTTTAACAAAATAGTGATTAGCATGGTAGTGGGAAGGAAACCAAAGACGGTGAGAATTTGATTATCCAGGTGTTGATCACTTGCCTCTCCTTTTGGTCAGGGAGCTGCTGTGCTTAGCATTTCTGAATAGCATGCTGGGACTGCCAATCAGCTGGAGCATGAAGGGAGAGGATAAAGCATGTAAGGATAGTAGGTAGATTACAAGTTGGGGAAGAATTTGCTGTTGAGGGTCATGAAATCTTCCTTTAAAACTCTTCTCCTCAGGGGAGGATGCAAGTATCAAGTTACTGCATGACACCTCTATCCAGTCTATCTGTAAGTTGACACTCTTGGATTGCTGCTCAGGAAGACTGTTTACAGTGAAAATAAATGAGGACTCCTTAATGTGCTTCATGTGGAACAGTAAGCTGGACAGAGATAGACTGGCAGCTCTGCATTGTGCTCTTGTCCATCTTGGAAGTGCAGCAGACTTGGAAGATCAGGTAGGCATGTAACTCACTCCAAGTTTTTGCCAGGTTTGTTCATTCAGGCCCTTGGCAGATGTTGCACTTAAGATGTGATTAATTAGTTAATCATGTCTTAAATAGCAACCTGGCCACACATTCAAGCAATTCTTGGTGCAGTAAAAGGGTGAATACACCACATTATTACACAAAATATGTATATAAATAGATACACAAATATGTGTGTGTAATAATTTTGTGGCTTGTTTGCATCACACCTCAAATTGCGTATACAGCCAGATACAGGTTGGCCTATTGGCTGATGGGCAGGCCCAGCCCCAGGGCTACGCCAGTCTTCAGCCAGCTGTAGTGCAATCCCAGGGCTGAGATCAGCTGGCTGGTGGTCTCAGCCATGGGCTATACCAGACCACTTCAGGAATGTAGTGTTCTTCAGGGGCTGGGGCTGCCAATCAGCTGATTTGTGGTCTCAGATTCAGGATTGCACAGCTTCATCAGGCCCCCAGCTTTCTCCTAGGGTGCATTTGAGGCCTGATTCCTGATCCCTAAATTCTGCATCCTACTGAGCGCATGTGATACGGCATGAGGTATGATTGTTAGTATTGGGGATCAGATCCTATTATGCCATTAAATGAACATCTGTCAGCAGCCTCAGTTTTAACAAGGGCCTGCTGCACGCCTTGTAGAACAAATGCAGAGTCATGGTCCCTATATACATCAAAGTTGTCATAGTAGCATCTAGAAGGTTACCAAGTTGGGGTTTAAAGATGCTTCTTGCCTAATGGTATGAACATGCAAACAATTTATTGCTAGGTAAAAGCAGGTGGTGATTTACCTCATGTCAGGTGGTCCACAGTAACTGTACCTCTCTTTCTTTGAGGCTTAAACTACCACAGCTTAGCTTCCACTTACTGTTGTGTAAGAACATTCACAGACACTTGCTATGGAAGAGCTGACATGCAACAAAGTCTCGCAGTAAATTGTTCTCATGTCTGTAGCTTAATTTATATGTAAATGTTGTTCTGAAAATATACCTGACAACAGGGTACTGTTTTAGACACTGTACTGTAGGTGAGAGGCTTCAGTTGATCCAGTTGGTTTTTAGTAGGCTTTCATTTGAACACCACCTTACATACAGAACTGCAAGGAATGTTCTGTTTTCTAACTCACAGATTATTCAGTGGATTTTGGAGAATTTGTCACCATGTCATGCTTTTGATCCTATTCAAGAATTTATCATTGGTACGTATTTATTGCACTATTTTAAGCAGAACAATTCAGTGGATTAGTGGTGGGGACACCAAGAGTTAAATCTACAGTTCTGTACATTAACCCCCATGCCGTCTCATCTTTTTATTATACTGTCAGTTAAATGACCCAGCTGTTTCTATTGCTAATTAAGAGGATGAGTATGTTGCAGTTCTATTTTTAATACCTGAACGTTACACGTGTGAATATCTACTTGGTAGTTCAGTTAGGGGGAGCAAATAACATTTTGATTCACAAATGCCCAACACCTGGCTTGAATAGCTGAATGTATGTTGGATAGAAACTGGAGCAGTATTTCACTTTGAGTCCTGCCCAGGCCTTTGAGCCATGTTGTGAAAGTTGCGTCAACAAGCTACGGATCCTCTGCAGTTCCTACTTACCATCAGATCCTGTGGCTCGCCAGACCGTTCCCTGCCTCCTGTGTGTTTCTGTGCAGGGGAGCTCTCAGAACCGAGCCCAGGAGCTGACATACCTGTACCCAGCCAGCTAGATTTCTTTTTTCCCTTTGTGCAGTGGAACCAGGCTAGTTCCACTGCTGAGGAAGCTGCTTTGGAGATTGTGGTGGGATTTGTCCCTAAACTCACACGTTGGGAGAAGAGTGAGGGAAAGGAAACTGAAGTGGGACAGGTAAACAAACAGAAGCAGACTGTAAAGCTTTTTTCTGGTAACATTAACTGTATCTAGCCTTGCTTCATGTAAGTCTTTATATATTCAGCTTCCCTGTACTGGAGAATGTGTCTAGAGAGTAGCCAACTGGATAAACTTTTGCCATATACATCACTACTTTACTGGAATGGGGTAAGATATCAGCTGCTATTAACACTAATAATTTTGGGGAGAGATTTTATTTTTCCCTATAAAGTCTGTCGTAGAATCTTTTTTCACGTAGAGAATCCTTTTCAGAAATTATCCAAGAACGAACATAGCTGTGTATTTTATGTTAGAATTAAACAAACATTACATATTCCCATTTTTTCTTATCAGACATACGTAGTTTGGGTAAATAACTGCATTTCTGAAATCACAATAGTAACAGCTGTGTTTGCATTACTGTACATTTATGAATGATTTAATTGGTGATTTTTTTTTTTTATAAAACAGGATGCAGAGTACTATGCATCGTATGGTTTTCGTAACAGATGCAGAATAACTTTTAGCTAGTATAATTGTGCAGTTATTTCCAAAAGCACACTGTCTGAAGAATACTGCTATTGTGAATAACTTTCTAAATAAAACAAAATTAGACAGACCCTTGAATGCATAGCACAGCAAACATGTCAAAGTTTTATTTTTTTTTCCCCCAACCATTTTTACAATGAGGCCTAAAATCTTATTTTTTAGCAACAATAATCATTATTTTAGTGAGCTGGTAATTTATTCAGATGGTGGTTTTCTTTAAAAAAACAAACAGCCCCCCC